ATCCTCATTTCTCTCTTGGTGCTCCTGACCCATCCCGCTTGGCACTCACATTATCACACAGATAACATTCACAGCGCTTCAGCTAAAAGACTGTAACATGTTTCTAACTACACAATGATTCACTCAAATTCACAAACTTGGCAGCCGCTAACCCTGGGATGCAACTTGGATATTTTTCTCACATCTACCACGGCCAATAGGATGACCCAACAGAGTTCAGGAGGCCAATGAGGGGATGCTGTGCTTTGTTGTCCTTTGTAAGAAGCTTATAAAATGCTTTACCAATGTATGATGAGGACCTCCGATCCGCCTTTAGGACAGGGTCAAGTTCTATGTTTAATAAATTGGCTTACATAGACTGAATATGCACTGTCTTTTATCTGTTTTTCCTGCCGGAGAATTGAAACCTAAAATTGGATGGTAACATGGTGGGCGGGAAGGGGACGCAGGAAACGTCCAGCTGCTTGTCCTGGGACCCAACTGCCTTCCGCCAGCCTGGCCCTAAAAAGGAACATGCCCAGAAATCTCGGATGTGGCAGGTGGGACAGCAAGTGGCCTGTCGCTTCCCTCTCCTCGCCGTCACACGGACAGGGTCCGAAGGGGGCCCCTCTCCTCTGGTCACTTACCGTTCTTCTCTTGACTTGGCCTGGCCTTTCCTTCCAAGTCACTCCCCTCGGTGTCCACAGGCGAACTGCAACGGGGACCGGCTTCCGAGCTGGAAGGGAAAAGAGGCTGAAGAAGCTCTCCCCCTCCCCCCCCCATCCAAGGGCCCCTTCTCTGCACGAGGCTGCAGAGTTTGGTTGCCCACAGGAGTGCACAAAGGGCCACTGGACCAGGCCACCTGAGCTGAGAAGCGGCACTCTCATCCACACAAAGTTGCACAGCCGCCTAGAGTGGTCTTAATCGACTAGATAGGTGGGATATAAATAAAATAAAATAAATAAATAAAATTTTAACGAACGCCACAGGAAGGGTCTGCTACACTCATACACACCCCCGCCAGAGCCCCCATCCGTGGCCGGAAGCAATCCTTAGTCCTAATATGTTGTAATACGCAATCTGTAACATGTCCTTTCTCTTTAATGAACAAACTTGGAAGGAACCTCATGTGTTCCCTATAGTCAATCACCCTTATAAATGTAGCTTTGTTTCACCCTCAAACACACACACACCCTCCCTCGGACGGTGCTAAACTACATGCAAGGCATAACCTTTGAGTTTGCCTATCGTTTGGCGTTACATGGAATGCTGTTGCATATGTTGCTCAATTGTATATGGTATGTATTATAATTTTTAGATGTTATGTTTATTTCTTAGGGATCCCCGTGTACCTTTTCCAAAGAGGCTTAATAAAGTATATATTTGAAACAACGTATCTCGGTGTCTGGCAACCTCCTTTATAAATTTCACAACAAATTTGGTAGCAGAGGATGGTTGCTACGGTTGCTATAATTGCTTCGTTTATTTTTGGATGCTTTGTTTGCACTTTTTGATAAGTTTTTGAGACACCGAAACCTGCTGTTATATTTTTGAATCTTTTATCTTTTCTTTTTTTTTTAAGTTTACATAATTGAGCAGAGTGTTTTTCTTGGCAAGCACTTTTTCATTTTTCAACTCGAAGAATGTGCTGTGTTTTTTGCTTTTGACCGAAAGGAGTAAGTTTTGATAAGAGACTGCAAAACAATTTTAAAGTACCAGCATTTTTTGTATGCAATCAAGTAATTTCTTGTGGATTGAGAGTGAAGAGAAGAAGATAATTTAACTTTTGACTTACTGAGACAACATTTATTAGCATTAAGATGTCTACTACTACTCCAGAAGCTAACACATCCACCCAACGCTTTCACCTGGGAGTAAATGACAGCAGTGGTGTATTTGCAATCCCAAAGCTGAACCAGAACAATTTTCAAATGTGGGATGCAAGGTTGAGAGTTTCTCTTCAAGTACAGGACTGTTTAGATGCTATAGACCAAGATATACCTGAAAGCCAGCCAGCACACAGTGAATATAAAATTAAAGAAGCAAAGGCTTTAATGTTGCTTTACTCTTGTATAGAAGATTATGAAACTCCATTAGTGACTAAATATAAAACAGCTAAAGGACTATATGGTGCTTTAAGAAAGAAATACTGCACCAAATCAAGTAAGAACATAATATTCCTGAAGGAAAGGCTATATAGTATAAGGATGAAAGAAGGAACTAACATTAATGAGCATTTAGATGAAATGTTGAAAATTATCACAGAGCTTCAAGCTGCAGGGGCAGAAGTATCTGATACTGAGTTCCACACTTGCATATTACTTAGTCTACCACAATCCTATGCAAATCAGAAAGCTATGCTTGAGTGTATAGCAGAGGTGGACTTGGAATACACAATAGCCTACTTAAGAGATTCAGGATTAAAAAGAGCAATGGACAATGTACCTGAAAAATTGCCTATATTAAGAATGAGACCTGATCCTGAAGAGAGGCGATGTCATATATGTTCAAAGGTTGGGCATATTGCCAAGTATTGCAGATTTAAAGGCACAGGAACTCAAATACCAAGAGGTGCGAGTACTAGTATTGAAGGAGCGGCCCCTAGAACCCAAAGACATTTCAGCACTCATAGAAATTTTAGAACATCACAAGGAAGACCAAGCATGAGTTACAAGCAAAGATCCTATGATGGTAAAATTGCTCATAATAAGAA